ATGAGGGCTCTGTGTTGGAGGCAGAGAGGTGGGCCAGAGCTGTATGCCAGTTATCAGCTGCCTTCAGAGTCAGACATCAGTGAGGCAGACAAACAGCTGGAGCCTGTTCCCAGACGAAGGGAACAGCTAAAGAACAGGGGTCGACTTGGGAGTAGGGCCAGATGATGAATGCCCTCCCCAGGAAATAAAAGAGGAACGAAAGAGGAGTGGAGTTTGCAGGAGACAATTAGTTTGCTGAATTGGTTCATGACTCTCTGAGACTCCTTGCCAAGTTTTGCAGATAATTGGCCTGGCAGCTCTCCAAGGCAGATAAGGTCTGTGACAGCAAATCCTCCCTTGAAAGACTTTGCTGGATGTGAATGAGCAGGATTCACAGTAAATTAATAAAAGGTTTTTTTTGTCGGAATCAGGAGTTTGCTTCATGCTCTCGGGAAGCCTCGGTCAGAACACACCAGGAACAATAAAGAACTGGGGTGCCTGTGGCCCTGAAGAATCACATTTGGTCTCACGTTATATTTTTTCAGGGGGCCAAATTGCGAGAACAGGAAGACGTCATCTCTCAACTTCAGAAGCACCTAAAGATGGAGATGCCCCATTTGGACATCCCTAAAATGCTAGGGAGTGTCTCCCTGGTGCAGCTTGACCAAAGGCCCCACACGGCTCCTGTGGACACATATCAGTCCCATCGCTGGCTCAAGCCCGCCTGTAATAACCACAGTAAGGTTTGTGAGTTGTTTCATTGTCCTATAAACAGGAGTTATGTTTTTCTTAGGATTGGAGACAACTTGGAGGCTGTGTCTCCCTTCCTACCCCACTACTATCACCCAGTTAAATAAACTCACTTTTAGAAGAGGTTGCCATACACGTCCAAATGAACATTTCTGCATGCACTTGTGAAATCTCTTGAAAGGATGCCAAACTCTTGTGATGCTTCGGGAGTTTGGAAGCTACTGTGCACGATCACCTAATAATCTTGGGGGAGAGGAAAGGATGATAGCTCCTTCCTGAAAGTTTGTATTTATTGATTTGATTTCTGTAGCCATCCAACTTAACCAACTGACAACTCTAAAATTATAAAATTAATAGCAATAGCACTTAGACTTCTATACTGCTTCAGAGAGCTTTACAGGCCCCTCTAAGTGGTTTACAGAGTCAGCCTCTTGCCCCCAACAATCTGGGTCCTCATTTTACCCATCTCGGAAGGATGGAAGGATGAGTCAACCTTGAACCTGGTGAGATTTGAACAGCCAAATTGCAGGCAGTCGGCAGTCAGCTGAAGTAGCCTGCAGTACTGCACTCTAACCACTGCACCACCATGGCTCATTAAATTAAAAATTAAAGAAATTTTAATAAAAAACATAAAACATAATATAAATACAGCCACAAAACACCCACAAAATAAATAAGTATAAACGGCAACCATTAACATAACATAAAAACATCCACAAAATAAATAAGTATAAACGCCAGCCATGATGATTAATCAACTAATAGTAAAGCCAATTGACAGGGTCCTTAGCGCATTCCAAGCCCCTGGCCTGGTTGCTCCACTGAAAATATGCATGTACATAATGCATTTTTCCTAACAATAGGGCAAGCAGTTTGAGCGTCACTTTATTGGGTATTGCATGAATTAATGAAAAATAAAACAAAAATATAATGAGGTGTCAGTGAGGCACATTGACTGTATTCCCATTATATGTTTAACTTAGCAATAGTTTTCTCAATTCACCCAATGTTGGGGGTTCATGTAACACACCGAACCCTAACCTACGTAATTACATGACCTGATCTTGTGCAACATACTGGTCAAAAATGAGATTGACTAGTGGTATAATCAGTTATTTTCCTCCCCTGGAAGTTGTTATTGTTGTTAGCTGCGAAGTCATGTCCAACCGATCGCGACCCCATGGACAATGTTCTTCCAGGCCCTCCTGTCCTCTACCATCCTCTGGAGTCCATTTAAGCTCACGCCTAATGCTTCGGTGACTCCATCCAGCCACCTCTTTCTCTGCCGTCCCCTTCTTCCTTTGCTCTCCATCTTTCCCAGTATGAGGCTTTTCTCCAGGGAGTCCTTCCTTCTCATTAGGTGGCCAAAGTATTTGAGTTTCCTCTTCAGGATCTGGCCTTCTAAAGAGCAGTCAGGGCTGA